TTGTGCATGATAGCATCTTAATAAAATTAAGTCTTGGTTATAGGTCTTAATCATACAGACTTTTTCAGACCCGTTAAGTGGTAGTGAAGTAAAGAAAACAAATATACTTAATGATTAAGATCTGAATGTTTAAGATTCAGACTTTTAAATCAAACCCACTTAATGTCTGAGATCTAAATGATTAAAGATTCAGACCTCCATTAGGTGCAAACAAATGAGGCCTAAGTTACTTTCAAGGAGAATCGAACCCGCATCCTTCGGCTCCAAACCCAGAACCTTGACCGCTGAAACCAGAGCTATTTTGTTAATGGGTTCGGCATATTAAATTTATATAGGAACACTAAAGTTTTCAACACAAATCCAGGGTTCAGGAAAAGTCACTGAGTTTGCCCGAACCGCACTCACTATTGTAGCTCCACTCCTGGTTATGGACGGGTACGATACGATGATGATGATACACACAGAGGCGTATGTTTTAAAAGTTTATGTATATATATGTATCAGGCATTTCATGTCAGTAGCCCTCAGAGGTACTCAGATGCTACAGGTTGTATCTCCTGTATCTCTCTTTATATTATTGTTCTTATTTATACTTTTTTGCCTTGCATACTCGGTACTTTATTCTTACTGACGTTCGTTTTGCCCGGGGACGCTGTGTTTCATGCCCGCAGGTCCCGATAGATAGGTTGACAATCCTCTTAGTAAGCTATCAGCTCAGCGGAAGGTGTTGATGCATTCCACTTGCTCCGGAGTTGCCTATTTGGTCAGTATGATTTGGACATGTATTGATTGGTATGGTGGGGCCCTATCCTGGCATTTATGATGTTTATGTACTCTTAGAGGCTTGTAGAGATATGTCATGTATATTGATGATTGTATGGCCTTGTCGGCCTATGCTTTGAGTGTACAAATGTTCATTTCAGTCTTATAGGCCCGTATGTCATATGTATAAGTTTGTGTACCATGTTGGGTCACCCTATGTCGAGTATTCTCTAATGTTTTGTTTTGGTTATCTTATGACGACCTTTCTGGCATTTACCCATGATAGTATGATAAAATGATACATTACGTTAGTACTCGGTTGAGTTACGCACCGGGTGCCCGTCGCGACTCTTTGGTTTGGGTCGTGACAACTATTTAGAAATAAATTTCATACTAGACAAAATAGTCATTTTTATTATTTTTTAATATTTAGGAATGTGAATAATTATTTAATTATTTTCTTAATATTTAAGAATTTAAAATGAACTATATTTTATATATTGAATCCTTTCTTATTTGAACTATATCATATAATAAATTTGCAAAAGCAAAATAATAACAAAGGGAAATCACAGCTTTCGTGAAGTGGTTTTTAACCAATTGATTGTTTAAAAAACTTATGTAATTTAGGTGAGACTTTTGAGTACTTTTAATTCCTTTTAGGTTTAAGGGTTTTTAATTTCTTGGTTCGTAACACGGGAAACAAATAGTACTATATGAAACTTTCAGCACTTTGAACTCCTTTTAAGTTTAGGAATCTGTTTTAAAAAAATTAACCGATTAATTCCTTGTTATTTAGGATTTTGTTAATCTTTCACCACTCTCTCTAACGTCTGCGACCTTTGTTTGGATCTCCGGCGAACTCCTCGGCGGAGATATCCCCTTATCCTGCGAATTCGAATTCGTAAGTTTCTTCTTCTCTGTTATGTCTACATCCTCTTTTCGATTTTTAATTTTTTAAAATTGAATCTTATTAATTCCACTTTGTAAATTAGGGTTTCAGTGATTTTAATCTGTGTTTCAGTGTTACTGATCGTTTTTGTTGAACTGTCAGATTCTATCCCGACAAGTTAAAAACTACTCATGAATAACGCTACTAAATGAGTTTTATTTTTCCCGAAGTACGAGTATAAATATTGCTCTCTGCTTTTTTTTTGTTGGAAAGTTACAGAAGATGAGATATTTATAATAATATTGGTATTTTTAGCTGCTGAATAAAGAATTCTATGAGTTCGCAAAGATAGAACAGGATAAGCCAACAGATTGGTTTTTTAAATAAAGATAATTGTTGATTCCCGTTATCTGAGCTGAGCTATGCGATGGAACTAATGTTTAATAAAAAATTGAATGTAAGCATTTCTAATCAATCGATAGAAAGAGCACTAAAAGTAGTGTCTTTTGTGCGAAGCCTCTTCATTACTATTCTGGATGTGTTGTTTCTCGGTCAGTTGGCTGAGCTGACTATCTATTTGTTCACATTTTCTAATTGCTCTCTTTGGTTACAACAGATTGTAAATACAATGGGGAAGAAAAAAACAGATGAGGCTGGTGTAAGTGGGAAGGCTAAGGGAAGCAGCAAAGATGGCTCCAAAGAAGGGAAAAAGGATAAGCTTTCTGTCTCTGCCATGCTTGCCAGCATGGACCAGAAACCTGAGAAGCCCAGCAAAGGATCTTCAGGCACTGGTGCTAGTAAGGCTAAGCCTAAAGCAGCTCCAAAAGCGTCAGCTTACACTGATGGTATTGATCTTCCTCCTTCCGATGACGAGGAAGATGAGCATCTCCCTGAAGAAGAGGAAGAACTGAGAAGGCATAGAAGGAATGAAACAAGTCCACTTGATACCTCCATAAGTCATAAAGAGCTGAAGAAACGCGAAAAGAAGGATGTGCTTGCTTTTCAGGCAGCTGAGGTGGCAAAAAAAGTGGCTCTTAAGGATGATCATGATGCTTTTACTGTTGTTATCGGTAGCAGGGCGTCTGTTCTTGAAGGTCAAGATGATGCTGATGCAAATGTCAAGGATATAACTATAGAGAATTTCTCTGTAGCAGCTCGTGGCAAAGAACTTTTAAAGAACACATCAGTAAAGATATCTCATGGGAAGAGATATGGTTTAGTTGGTCCCAATGGGATGGGCAAGTCCACTCTACTAAAGCTCCTTGCTTGGAGGAAGATTCCTGTACCCAAAAACATTGATGTACTTTTGGTTGAACAAGAGATAGTTGGCGATGATAGGACAGCCCTTGAAGCTGTTGTTTCAGCTAACGAGGAACTCATCAAGCTCCGAGAAGAGGCTGCATCTTTACAGAATGCTGCTGCATCTGTTGGTGAGAATGAAGATGATGCTGATGGGAATGATGATGTTGGAGAAAAACTATCTGAACTGTACGAAAGGTTGCAGCTGATGGGATCAGATGCTGCTGAGGCACAAGCATCGAAAATTCTTGCTGGACTTGGTTTCACCAAGGAAATGCAGGGTCGTGCTACCCGGTCTTTTAGTGGTGGTTGGAGGATGAGAATTTCTCTAGCACGGGCTCTTTTTGTTCAGCCTACTCTATTGCTGTTGGATGAACCTACTAATCATCTTGACCTTCGGGCTGTACTATGGTTAGAGGAGTACCTGTGCAGATGGAAGAAAACTCTGGTGGTTGTTTCACATGATCGAGACTTTCTGAACACTGTTTGCAACGAGATTATTCATCTCCATGACTTGAAACTGCACTTCTATCGGGGTAACTTTGATGGTTTTGAAAGTGGATATGAACAACGTCGCAAAGAGATGAACAAGAAGTTTGAGATTTATGATAAGCAGTTAAAAGCTGCCAAAAGATCTGGAAATCGAGCACAACAGGAGAAGGTAAAAGACCGAGCCAAATTTGTAGCTGCCAAAGAATCAAAGAAGAAGGGCAAGGATAGGGTTGATGAAGATGAAACTCCACCTGAAGCACCTCAGAAGTGGAGGGACTACACCGTGGAGTTCCACTTCCCTGAGCCTACTGAACTGACGCCTCCGCTTCTTCAGCTAATTGAGGTCAGCTTCAGCTACCCTATTCGACCAGACTTTAGGCTCGCTGATGTTGATGTTGGAATTGATATGGGGACTCGAGTTGCTATTGTTGGGCCCAATGGAGCAGGAAAATCGACCTTGCTTAACCTCTTGGCAGGTGATTTAGTTCCTACAGAAGGTGAAGTCCGCAGGAGTCAAAAGTTGAGGATTGGAAGGTACTCGCAACATTTTGTTGATCTTCTCACAATGGATGAAACACCAGTCCAGTACCTGCTCCGTCTTCACCCAGATCAGGAGGGACCTAGTAAGCAAGAAGCTGTTCGTGCAAAGCTAGGAAAATTCGGACTTCCCAGCCATAACCATCTTACCCCCATTCTAAAGTTGTCTGGGGGACAAAAGGCTAGAGTTGTATTTACATCCATTTCCATGTCGAAGCCTCACATCTTGCTATTGGATGAGCCGACAAACCATTTGGATATGCAGAGTATTGATGCTTTGGCAGATGCACTTGATGAATTCACAGGTGGAGTTGTTTTAGTTAGTCACGACTCAAGGCTCATATCAAGGGTTTGTGACGATGAAGAAAGAAGTGAAATTTGGGTAGTTGAGAATGGAACTGTGGAAAAGTTCCCTGGTTCATTTGATGAGTACAAGGAAGAACTTGTAAGGGAAATCAGGGAAGAGGTTGATGATTGATGTTGCGACCAACTTACTCTATTGTAGTGTCTTGAGTTTTTTGTTCTTCATTTTTTGGAACCTTTTCTTTTCGACTTCATGTTGAGGGAGTGTAATCTTCTGATCCGGATATATAAAAACATAGTGACTTAAGTTATATGTACTGTCAAATTTCTTGTTATGGTTTGCCTCAGGCAATAATGCAGGGGCATTGATATTTTGCTTCTCATCAATCTGTTCTCGCGCTTATTTTAAAGCCTGTCAAATTTTGCCTCAATTTGCAACTTCCAACTCTCATTAACATCTAAAATTGTTTTGTTTCTGGTGATCCGAGGAGAGATTCTATGATCTCACTTCCTAGTTCTGTATGAATGGTATAAAGTGTTGTTTGATCAGGTACTTAAAGTTATCATTTGAGTTTTCTAATCTATCTGGTATGTGCGATCTGGTAGGCTGCCAGTTGTACAGTGAATGCGAGGTATTTGCTTGTCATATATATCACCCTAACATAGTTTGAGGAAGAATTACTGCTCGTTTTTTTAAATAATTATTCTATACAAGCATGCCATGTTTTTTGCACAAAGATTGCTGCAACGTCAGAAATCCACCATGTGTGTCATGTTGTATAATTTCTTGTAATTGTTTCCAGAACTACTCATGTTTCAGCAGCAGTTTAGTAAATAGACTGTTTTTCCACACTGCAGAGCTACGAAATGATCAGAAGATTAAGACAGAAAAAATAGACCAAAATATTCAAGTTCTGCATTCAGCTAGGCTTGCATCTACAACACCTTCTGTCAAAGACTCAGGTATATGAGATGACATTGCTGGATCAGTAAATCTTTTCAGCACCCGTTATGTGTTTTTGACATGGTTATTGGTTTTTGTCGCTTTAGTCATGCTTGTTAGAACTCGAATGTGATGAAAACTATAGTTCACATTATGCTCAGATACATCCTCATTCAGCAAATGAGGCAAATTTACCCCCACTCTCTCGACAGGCAGGAAGTGTGAGGGACAGTTGTATTTGCAATAGTAAAACCTTTCCTTATGAAAGCTGGTTCTCAGAGAATATTATTAAGGCTTAATATCGGCTTGGTTATGAAGAGCTAGATATCCAGCATTTGGGGAATATATTTGTAGCCTAAAGTTTAGTTACATTATGTATATTATCTCTTATGTTGGAACCTTGAACTTTTACGTTCTTATACTGCCTCTCTTTTAATCAGACCCATCTTATGCAAATTTCCATGATGAAGAATGGGGAATTCCAGTACATGATGACAAGTAAGTTGCCAGATTGTTTTTCAGTGTTTGTTGTGGAGCTTTGGCCGAACTCACTTGGCCTTCCATTTAGCAAAAGACATATATTCAGGTACTCGTGTTGATAATTTCCTTGCTTTGACAGTGTAGTTTTACTTATTCTCCAAAAGACATGTAGTTCTTCTCTCTTCTGCTCTAGACTAATCTACTCTTCAGTATAACGAATCTTCTCTTTAACAAAAATATTTCTTGGTGCAGAGAAGTATTTGCAGATTTTGATCCTATAGCAGTGGCAAAATTGAATGAAGAGAAGACTTTAGCACCTCGAAATACAGCATGCTCACTGTTTTCATAGCTTTAACTGCGAGCAGTCATTGAAAATGCTTGTCAAGTGTCGAAGATATATCCTTTGCTCTTTATTCAGTTAACTTCTGTAAATACCTACCTGGACTATATTTGCATGTGCAATGGCTATTAAAACTGTTATAGAATCAAAGACATCTAGCTGTTAAAGTATTTCATTAGTTATTGCAACTAAATTTGTGCAGGTTTTGCTTGTGTCGGATTTGGGTCATTTGACAAGTATATCTGGAGCTTATGAACCACAAGCCTATAGTTGGCAGATTCCGGTATCCTCAAGTTCAGTAAAAACCTAGTTCGGAGAGGTTTCCAGGGCGTGGGACCCACTATTGTCTGTTCCTTCATGAACAAATGACCATCTTATTAGCTGCTTCAGATTTCATGACTGTGTGGCAGTTGCTGAAGGAAAACAGAAGGATCTAAATGAAGATAATAATACTGAGGCAGCAAAAACCAATGAAGCCATTGAAGCAGAGATGTGTAGATCGACCGATGACCTGAGTTTCTCATTGGTGGGATCGAGTCATTGTGCATTTTAATGAGACAATTCAGAGCTTACTTGTAACATCTGGTTATCATCTAAGCTCACACAGATTTAGTAGCAGAACTGGTTATACAAAGATGAGGTCGATTCCTGTGCATCATAGATTCTTATAGCCCGTTTGGCCAAGCTGCAAAAATCAGCTTATTTTGAGAAGTGCTTTTCTCAAAAGTACTTTTGGTGAGAAGCAGTTTGTGTTTGGCTAATTAGTTTGAAAAGCACTTCTGAGCAGCAATTAGTGTTTGGCCAAGCTTTAAAAAACTGTTTCTAAGTGTATTTTTCTCAAAAGTGCTTCTCAAAAAAGTGCTTTTGGAGAGAAACTGCTTTTTTCTGCTTCTCCAAAACTGCTTCTGTTTCTCCTCAAAAGCACTTTTTTTCCTTCCAGAAGCTTGGCCAAACACCTCAAATTGAGGCCAAAAGTGCTTTTGGCCCAAAAAAAGCACTTTTGGCCAAAAATAAGCTTGGCCAAACAGGCTATTAGTTTTGTAGATTATTATAACTAGATGAAAATTGAGTTAAGTGGTGGCAACTTTTGTTGTGTACAGTCTGTAGTGTTATTATAAGAATGGTCGTCAATTATCACCTTCACCACAATCTTTCAAAGTTCCTTCGATACTTCACTTGTTATTGTTCATGTCTGTCACTCAGTGATTCATGTTCTTCTGATGTGACACCTAAAACTGGTATATTCTTGATTCTCTCATTTAGAAGATCCAGATTTTGATTTTAAAATTTGCATTTGATTTTGATGTTTTCGTGTGGAGCTGAGGGTCTACCGAAAATAACTTTTTTAATTTACACAAGGTAGGAGTAAAGTTTGAGTACACTCTACCCTCCCAGATCTCAACTGTGGGAACACACTGGGTACATTGTCCGTAGACAGATAATTGAAGAGTAGAGAAGTACTCAAATCTTTCTATAACTTGAAACCACATTAGAATTTAAGGTCCAAGAACTGACACATTGGAGCTCAATCTGAAAGGATTATTGTTAAATTTGACAAGATTAAGTGAACTAGTGTGATCATTTGGAAGCTTCCTTTTAGGTAGATGCATTTTTCATGCATTTACATTGCATGATCACACTTTATGTGATATCATATATGACATTATTAAAGTCATTTCCCTTCTATAAAGAGCAAGAGTTTTGTTCATTTGTAAACACCTCTCACTTGCCTTCTTATCTCCTAAGGCATTTGAGTCTTTTTTCTCTCTTGTAGTATTTCACTTGTATTTTTGAAGTGAAATAAAGTTTGAGTTGATTGTGTCCGAGGACTAAGCAGAAAATCAAATGTAGCCGAATCTCATAAACTCCTGGTGTTCTTTTTTATTGTCTCATTTACTATTTATTAGCTATCTTTAGATATAGTAGTTGTGATTTAATCACTCTTTATATATTCGGCTTTCGCAACAATTGGTATCAGAGCCAAGGTTCTATTTGAGTATGCTCTGTGGTTGCAACATAGTTTGAACTTCCACATCAGTAAAGAAATTACTTTAGTATTCTGTAGTATCAATAAATAAATAGTATCTGTAGCAAATATGGGAGAAAAGAAAAATGAAGAGTCCACATCGGGTGTCAATAATATGTCATTGGCATCTTCGTTTATGACAAGAATTATGTCTAATGCGAAATTTATAGTTGAAATTTTTGACAGGTCAGGACATTTCGGGATGTGACAAGCTGAGGTTCTTGATGTCCCTTTTCAACAAGGGCTAGATATTGCCATAGAAGAAAAGAAATTAGACAATATAGGAGAGGAAGATTGGAAGATTATCAACCGTGTTGCTTGTGGTACTTGCAAGAGAATAAAAGTATCCATACACAAGAAACTTCTGCAAGTAAATCGTAGAATGCATTGTAGGATAAATTCTTGAAGAAAAAGAGTCAAAATAAACTTTATATTAAAAAAGATTGTTACGCTTCACTTATGTTCCTAGTACTACAATGAATGATCATATCACCAGCTTTAATAAGTTGGCAACAGATTTGCAGAACATGGACGTGAATTTTAATGATGGAGATATGGACTTACTGTTATTAAGTTCACTTCCCGATGAGTACGAACACCTCGAAACTACTCTACTTCATGGGACTGATGAAGTATCTCTCAAAGAAGTTTGTTCTGCCTTGTACAACTATGAACAAAGAAAGATAGAAAAACAAAAGAGTGGAGAAGGAGAAGCACTGGTCGTGAGAGGTCGTTTTCAAAATCATATGATAACGAAGATAGGAAGATCCAAGTAAAGATCCAGACTAAGCAAAGATGAATGCTCCTTTTTGTCGAGAAAGGGGGCACTGGAAGAAAGACTGCCCAAAATTGAAAAACAAGGCCAAACCTAACAATGGGAAGGCTGCCATGGATTCAAATGTAGTTGATTGTGACGACTCTGATTTATCATTAGTTACAATAGAGCCATTCAAATCATCTGACATATGGCTGATGGACTCAGCTTGCAGTTATCATATGTGTCCCAACTGGGACTGGTTCATTGATTTTCAAGAAAGAGAATGTGGAGTTATTTACACCGCAAATAACAATCATCTTACCTCATCTGGTATTGGTTCAATCCAATTAAGAAACCATGATGGATTGATCAGATTATTAATAGATGTTCGATACGTACCGGATTTAAAGAAAAAAATCTCATTTCTGTGGGAGCCCTCAAGTCAAAGGGGTTCAGAGTCATTGTAGAAAATGGGGTCATGAGAATATGCTCTGGTATACTGGTGATAATGAAGAAAATTCGGAGAACAATAACATGTACCATTATCACATTAGTACAGTTATTGAGATAGTGACAGTGACATCCAGTAATGACAAGGAGGCAAAAGCGCCCAAGCTAGGGCACATGCGCTTGTGACATGCTGGAGGAAAATCCTTGAAAATTTTATCAGATCAAGGATTGTTAAAAGGAGTAAAGACTTACAATTTGGAGTTTTGTGAGCAAACAGACAAAGGTTAAATTTGGAACATCTATCCATAATACTAAAAGTATTTTGGATTATGTTCACTCTGATATTTGGGGTGCTTCCAAAACACCTTCACTAGGTGGGAAACACTATTTTGTAACATTTATTGATGACTTATCCCGGAGAGTGTGAGTGTATGCAATGAGAACCAATGATGAGGTGTTGGGAATTTTTCTCAAATAGAAGGCGATGATAGAGTCTCAAACAGGCAGAAAGATAAAGTGTCTTTGCACAGACAACAGTGGAGAATATAAATATAATATTTTCAATAAGATTTGTGAAGATGATGGCATTATGAGATATTTAACTATCAGAAATACGCCACAACAGAATGAAATGGTCTGACGTATGAACCAGACTTTGCTGAAGAAGGTTCTGTGTATGTTGTCCAATACTGGCTTGGGCAGAGAATTTTTGGCCGAGGCAATAACATATGCATTCCACCTCATTAATCGTTTACCATCTGCCGTTATTGGTGGCAAGACACCACTTGAAAAATGGTATGGAAAACCTGTTGAAGATTATAGTTTTTGGCATGTATTTGGCTCAATTGCATACTATCATGTGAAAGAGTCAAAATTGGATCCAAGAGCAAAGAAAGCTATATTTATGGGGATTATTTCTGAAGTCAAGGGATATTGCTTATGGCATCCAGAGAAGGAAAAAATTATATTCAACAGAGATGTTACCTTTGATGAATCTGCCATAACAGATTAGGTGACAATTGAAGATGTCAAACAAATTGATGGTGCTTCAAAGGAGGTAGAATTCGAGGAAAAATTAAATTTTCCAACACAGGGAGAAAACGAGGAAACAACAGAAGATTTTCCTCTAGAAGAAGAGCCAGTGGAAAGGGACATTCCAACTCAGGAACCTCAACAACAACTTGAATCAATAGCAACCAGCAAGCCAAAAAAAACAATATAGAAACCTGCTCGTCTCATAGAGATGGTGGCTTATGCAGCCTCAATTGTAGCTGGTGGTGTTCCTACCTCTTATAGAGACGCAATCCAAAGTTCAGAAGAAAATAAGTAGAGGATTTCCATGAATGAAGAAATGCAGTCCCTTCATCATAATCGTACATGGAAATTGGCCAATCTCCCGAATGGCAAGAAAGCAATTTGGTGCAAATGGGTATTTGCAAAGAAAGAAGGTTTCCTAACCAAGAAGATATTTGCTACAAAGCAAGATTGGTGGCCAAAGGATATGCTCAAAAGGAGGAAATTGATTCTAATGTGGTGTTTTTTCCCGTCATGAAACACTCTTCCATTAGAGTTTTGTTGGCTTTGGTAGCACAGTTGAATTTGGAACTAGTTTAGTTAGATGTAAAAACTGCATTTTTACATTGAGACTTAGAAGAGAAAATTTATATGACTCAGCCAGAAGGATTCAAAGTTGTTGGAAAGGAAAATATGGTGTGCAAACTTACAAAATCATTGTACGGATTGAAACAATCTTCTAGATTTGACAAGTTTATGTTGCGACAGAAGTACACAAGAAGCAAATACGATCATTGTGTGTATCTGCCCAGCTTGAGGACGGGTCCTTCATATATCTTTTCTTATACATTGATGATATGTTGCTAGCTACCAAAAGTCAAGAGAAAATTGAGAAGATGATGATTCAACTAAGAGAGATAGACATTCAAAGAAACTTTTTCTATCTCAGAAAGAATAGAGAGTAATTGATAGATTTGGCATGAATGAGAATATGAAGTCGGTTAGCACTCTGCTTGCTCCTCACTTTAAGCTTAGTGCTGCTACATCGCCGAAGAATTAAGTTGAACGAGAGTATATGTCAAGAGTACCATATGCGAATGTCGTTGGTAGCTTGATGTATGAAATGGTTTGCACAAGAACTGATATTTCACATACTATCAAAGTTGTAAGCAGGTATATGCATGATCTAAGAAAGGAGCAATGACAAGCTGTGAAATGGATTCTACGGTATATTCGTAATACTATAGATGTTGAATTGATTTTTGAGCAGGAAGATAGTCAGTATCTAGTTGGATATTGTGATTCGGATTATGCGGGTGATTTGGACAAGCATAGATCAACTACTACTTATGTTTTTACTTTTGCAAATGCACTAGATAGTTGGAAGTCTACTTTGCAGTCAACGGTTATTTTGTCTACTACTAAGGCAGCGTACATAGTAATTACGGAGGCTATAAGGCAATTTGGCTTCAAAGATTGCTTAGAGAGCTTGGTATTGGTCAAGAAAGCATCACACTATTTTGTGATAATCAAAGTGCTATCCAATTAGCAAAAAACCAAGTTTATCATGCAAGGACGAAGCACATTGATGTTCGATATCACTTTGTACGAGATATTATAGAAGAGGGTGGAGTCATAGTTCAAAAAATTCGGACTACAGACAATCCTGCCGATATGCTAACAAAAATAGTGACTACGATCAAGTTTCAACATTGTTTGAACTTGATCAACATTGTTGAACTTTGAAAATTGAAGTTGAAGACACAATCAAAATTTATCAGTGAGAGAAAATTGAAACAATGGAATCTTGCCAAGGTGGAGATTTGTTAAATTTGACAAGATTAATATGAACTAATGTGAACATTTGGAAGCCTCTTTTAGGAGAACATTGGTAGATGCATTTTTCATGCATTTACATTGCATGATCATACTTTATGTGATGTCATGCATGATATTATTAAAGCCATTTCCTTTTTATTTTATTTGTAAACACCTCTCACTTGCCTTCTTATCTCCTAAGGCATTTGAGTGATCTTCTTTTTCTCTTATAGTATTTCACTTGTATTTTTGGAGTGAGATAAAGTTTGAGTTGATTGTGTCCGAAGACTAGGCAAAAAATTAAATTTTGCCGAACCTCGTAAACTCCTAGTTTTCTTTTTTATTGTCTCATTTACTATTTATTAGCTACCTTTAGATATACAATCAGACATCTCTATAATTGCATCCTTATATAACATCATTTCACTATAAAAGCTAAATTTTTCCGAAATCAAATTTCATGTTCTGTTATAATATATGTTTCTATAACAACAATTCGCTATAACATCCAAAAATATCTGGAACAAACAAGATTGTTATAGAAAAATTTGACTGTAATAATTGTGATTTGATCCCTCTCTATATATTGTCTTCCGCAATAATTATTAGGTTTTTAGGGTTGCATAGTTGATGTTTCAGGAGTATTTCTCACTAAAAAAACAGTGTCTCTTGGCACTTTTCAACAGAAGAACAAAAAAGGTCAACCTAACGAATTTCAAAATTTGCTTATTTGTTTTGGAATGTAGAAAATACATTACGTTAACTAATATTGAATGCATTTCTTTCATTCAATTAGTTAATGACTACGGATATAGAAATAGTGCTAAATCTAGAACTTTTAAGTTCTAAAGTTGACTTTTGAATAATCACTTACGTGTATGCTGAGGGAGAATTGCGATTAGCAATTTGTTAGCTACTCTGCAATTTTATTGATCTATTTATTTTTAGTAAAAATTGGAAAAGTGTGGTCCTCTCTTTTAGGAATTTAGTTCTATAAGCGTCCGACATTTAACAAAAACACTAGTCATAATGTGTTCAAGTTATTTGATTTCCTGTCGATTGGGCTGAACCATCAGTTTTTGTCAAAATGTTCACACCTATTTAATTCAATCATCTTACTTCCATCGAGATCGAGGGGCGAACCTATGTAGAAGCGAGGAGTAGTATGCCATCCGATCATTTTGGGAGAATTTCATGTAAAAAAATATATAAATTAAAGAGTGCCCAAAGTCACAATGTGGCTATAGGTGCTGTCACAAGAGTGATTTATGTTTTCGAATTTCGCCCGAGGTTCATCACTGTGCGGCAGTCAAGCCTAGCCTTGACTTTCAACCTTCCAACACTTAAATTATTTTTAAGGACGTTTTTGGACTTAGAATGATTTAGGCAGCAAAGTAAAATAAAGTAAAGGCACACACAAATTTACAGAAAACTCTTCTCAACTCGTATTAATATGTGAATACACGATCACAAAGAAGCCAACCCTATGGCCAAGAACAAAGAACTCCCTAGTTCCCTGCCCCAAAACGAATTTCCCACCCTTAGAAATTCCACTTAGACGTTTTTGGTTAACATTTATGCACATATTTATAGTGCAGGCTACCCACTTACACTTGGCAGCTTATAAGACAATCAGTTGACAAGCCCCAACTGATGGGCAAACATGATAGACATGCTACAAAAACGTGCCTCCACTTTAGCCCCACGACTAGTCATGCTTTGGATGTGGTTGTAACTGCCAACTACCCTGTCATGTGCCCATCACACTTTTTATAACCGCTGCATGTGCACTGCATGTGTTTATTTTGCCCAGCTGTTGCGCGCCCAAGACTGGCATTGCGCCCAACCTTGCCCTTTGATACTGCTCTGCCCCAATGTCATGGCCATAACTTGCCGTCCATTGACTTAGCCGCACACGCCCATTGCCACAACTGCCACCTTATATCAAGTCGCCCTCAGCTTGATCAAATCTGTCCATGTCAATGTCATTGCTTGTCTTGCCTTGCTTTGCCATGTTTTGGCCCCTTCTTTGACATGGCTTTGCCTTGCCATTGTATACCAACTCGCACATCCATGTGAAATGTGCCTTGTCTCTGTCAAGGTGCATTTGTCAACCCACCGTAGTGCACCATGATAAGTTGCCCGTCATGATGTTGCCCCATTTTTTCAGGTTATGTGCCAAAGGTCATCATGAAAATTATTGTCACAACCCACATCTGCCGAGGAACTTTGTTAAGGGGCTAACAGGCGCCATGGTCAAAGTGCTCCCTGCCGGGCCCAAGATCCGGATTGACCCTCATTTCACTTGTAATAATGCAAAGCCATTTTCGTGTTTCCTCTTTCCAAATAGTTTTCTTTTCTTACCTTTTTCTTAATTTTTTTTATCTTCACTACAAAAAACAGCATTTAATGATGGATTTTAGCGACAAATTTAGTTCCCTTGCTAATTAGCGACGGTTTGGCTACGGAATAGTAATTTCGTTGCAAAAAAAGCCAAAAAATAGTTAGTATATAATATAGCAACGAATTAGCCACGAAATCCAAAATTTGTCACTAATTTTTGGCGCCCTCAATTTAGATACGGATTTAGCAACAAAAACTGAGCACCTAATCATACGGATTTACCCTAAGGCACAAATTGGTAAAACATCAGTCTTTCTTCTAACATAGTAGAAACGCGCTGGGAGCAAAATTAGGCGGCTGGGAGCAAAATCAGTAGAAGACACACCTCGAGGGCAAGAACAAGAGCAAAAATCAGTAGCCAACGTGAATCTAAGGTTTGTAGATGGCTTTAATTTGTTTCTTCTTCTGTTTCTTATGCTTTGTATGTTACCTGTGAGAAGATACTCATGTCTAATAGAGTATCTGAGTAAATTTATGACGTCCCAGCTCAATTTGATATGGGAGTAGACCAAATCTGCCTTACCTATATATTTAGGGTTTTGTATGTTACGAATTTAGACAGTGTATTATCCATCCGCTCCTCTATTTTTCAATAAATGCGGATTCTATTTTTTGTTTATCTTTTCAGTTCTTTCTATAGGATCCTTCATGTGCTTAATCCGTTCTTGTTTTGCCACATCAATTTTATTGTCTAATGAAGCTGTTAATGTATGAGAAAAATAACAAGGTGATTTAGCTAGTCCCTTTGTGTCCTTACGTTCAAGAATGTATTTTTTGCTACATCTTTTCAGACACATTATTCCCATTTCGAGTAATCAAATAGATTATCTGTCTGTCGTGGTTTAATATGTTGCATACCTTGGGAATGTTGTTATTGTTGCTGCCATTCTGCTGCTACTTATTGGTGTGAAGGTGAATAATAGGGCATTAGCAGGTTAGATCAGTTGAGCTTTGAGAGAGGGGTTAGGATAGATTTGGACAGTAAGGGACAGGATTCTGATTCTGTTCAGCAGAAGGCAAAAAAAGAATCAGTCATCTGCTTTTCTACATGGTGCGAAACTTCAGATTTATAGTATCAACCATAAAGGACACAATTTAGAGTGAGATGTAGTTTCTTTTATTAGTAATAATTTTCGGGAAAGTTGTTTTTTGTTAGTTACTAGCATGTGCAGTTTAATTAATCTTCTCCTTTGGTAGTTTAATTAATCTTCTCCTGCTTATCTTCTTAGAACATTCTTATTATCTTACTCGTAGAAAAAAGAAGTTTGATTATCCTGTTTTGTTTCTATATTACATAGGAATATGGATAATTTAGAGCGTGCTTGGATGTACGAGAGGTTGGATGGCCGAGGGGGTATTAATTCTAATTTTGTAACTGGCGTGGATAGCTTTCTCCTGTTTGCACGTTCTCAGCAAAATCGCATGAGTGGTGAGAATGTTCGATTTCCATGTAAAAAATGTTGCAACATTATATACATGGACGTTGAAACAGTTAGATTGCACCTTTTTAAGTTTGGATTTGTTGAAAACTATTCTGTTTGGAAGTATCAAGGGGAAAAAGATGTGACTGGTGTGACGTCTTCTAGCAGTGATCTACATGGTGGTGTTCAACCCGCATTAGGATATGACAATCCATACCGACAAATGGTTTTAGATGCAGCTGGAGTGCTGGACCCAACTTTGGCCAGGGTTCTAGTTGGCAATCTTATAGTAATACTGAATTTGAGTCGTCTCATCATTTTGAGCCTTCAATGAAGGAAGAGGCTAATCCTTCAATGGAGATTGAAGGATGAGCCTAATCCTGAGTCTCAAAGGTTTTATTATTTGCTAAAGGTCGCTGATACATAATTGTATCCTGGTTCTTCCTTCTCTCAACTCGCAGTAGTTTCTAGGATGTTAAACACTAAAATGGAGAACACTTTATCACAGAGGGGATATGACCAAATGATGCAATTGATGAAAGAGGCTTTACCCGAAGATAACATAATGCTTGAAAGTTATTATCAAACCAAGAAGCTAGTGCATAGCTTGGGTTTGCCGGTTGAAAAGATTGATTGTTTGTAATTCAGGATGTATGTTGTATTAGGGTGACGATGAAGACCTCATATCTTGCAAGTTTTGTGGCTATGAGAGGTTTAAACGTCGCGTTAGTTCTCGTAAGAGGAAATTTGTCCCTTATAAAAGGATGTATTATTTTCCATCAGACTCTGAGGCTTGGAAGCACTTCAATGAAACTCATTCATTGTTTGCTGTTGAACCAAGGAATGTGAGGCTGAGATTATGTACTAATGGTTTCCAACCATTTGGCCAATCAGGAAGAAAATACTCTTCGTGGCCAGTGATTGTCACTCCATGCAACTTACCTCCTTGGATATGTATGAAAGAGGCGTACATGTTCTTAACTGTCATTGTTCCAGGGCCAACCAATCCTAAACAAAAAATTGATATTTTTCTACAACCTCTAATAAAAGAATTGACCTTGTTATGGGAGGAAGGTGTGGAAGCATTTGACATCTCAAAAAAGCAAAACTTTCAATTAAGGGCGGCTTTGATGTGGACAATCAGTGACTTTCCAGCATATTCTGTGTTATCAGGATGGAGTACTGCTGGCAAGTTAGCATGTCCTTATTGTATGGAGGAAGCACAATCTTTTAGATTACGTCATGGTGGGAAAAAACTTGGTTTGATAGTCATAGAATGTTCCTCGACCAACACCATCTATTTAGGAAAGATCGTAAAAACTTTCTTAAAGGTCAGACTGTCAAAAGGCTACCACCAGCACTTAGAACGGGAGAGGAAATTTTGAACCAAATTAGTGAGTTAGGGCTAAGGAAAGTAACAGTGGAAGATGCACAAGCAGTTAATTCGAGAATATGTAAATCTTGTGGATGAAAAAAGCGAAGCATCTTTTGGGATTTGCCTTATTGGAGTTCTAACATGATTCGGCATAATCTTGACATCATGCATATTGAAGAGAATGTCTTTGATAATGTATTTAACACAGTTCTTAATGTTAAAGACAAAACCAAAGACAATCCGAAAGCACGTCTGGATATGATAACCTATTGCGATAGACCTCAGTTGGCAAATGATGCTAGTGGAAAATATCCCAAAGCTGCATATACAATAGACAATGAAGCAAAAGATATCTTATTCAATTGGGTGAAAAGTTTGAAGTTTCCAGATGGGTATGTTTCAAATTTGGGTCGATGTCCAGAGACGAACAAGTCTAGGTTATTTGGCATGAAAAGTCATGATTGCCATGTGTTCATGCAACGATTAATGCCTATTGCCTTTCGTGAACTACTTCCTAATAATGTGTGGCAGACACTTACAGAATTGAACTTATTTTTTAAAGATTTTACTTAGACCACTCTACGAGTGACTGACATGGAGAGATTAGCAATAGACATCCCACAGATCTTGTGTAAGTTGGAACATATATTTCCACTGGGGTTCTTTAACTCAACGGAACATTTGCCCGTGCACCTGCCATATGAAGCAAGAATTGCTGGACGTGTACAATATCGATGAATGTATCCTTTTGAGAGGTAAATTTAAAACTTCTATGTCATAATAGTGACAAGTATGCTACACATGGCTTTTTAATTTAATGGTCCATTCATTTATCTATTTAGGTACCTTAGAACTTTGAAAAAATTATTGGGAATAAAGCTAGTGTTGAGGGATCTATTTGTGAAGCATACTTGATGACAGAGTCAACACAATTATTTTCTCATTGTTTTGAACCTCATGTCATTACACGTAATCATAATGTGGACCGGAATGATGATGGTGGTGTTGTGGAAGATCATAAAGGAAATTTATCAATATTTACATATCCAGGTCGGCTATCGGAGAAGCAAAAAAGAGGAGTTTATCCTTGGAAGAAATCAAGGCTGCCCAAACTTACATTCTACTAAATTGTAAAGAGGTTGAGCCATTTGTAAGGTAACATTTGAAAGTTATACTTGCTTAATATAACAAATATTCATATATCAGAAGCACTAATTTTAATTTGTTGCAATGAAGTATGTACGTGGAAAGTTTACAAGAAGAATATCCGAATCTATCTCAGGATCAAATAGATGAGAATCTCGAAACATATTTCTCTATATGGTTCAAGCAATATGTAAGCCTCCAACAATAATTTACTTTTATACAATAATATACATAAATTGACTTGTTAAATTTAACTAAGTCTCACAATTTTTTAAATAGGTCCAAAGCAACCATATTGAGAATGCATTCTTGCGTAGCCTTGCTCATGAACCATTGACAAGCGCGATATGTCATTCAGTGTATTTTGTTAATGGATATAAATTTCACGCAAAAAGTCATGGTACCGCAAGATCAACAATGAACAATGGAATTTGTATATCGGATCCAAATGTTGGTGACTACTATGGTCGGATACAAGAGATTATACAAGTAGAATACCGTGAAGAACATTTAAAGAATATTGTATTATTCAAGTGTGAATGATTTGACCCAACGATGAATGTTGGTGTTAAAAAGCATAATCAATACAAATTGGTGGATGTTAATCATTGTCGTCGATATAAAAAGTATGAACCTTTTATTCTTGCGATGCAAGCAACTCAAGTGTGTTATGTTCCTTATCCTAGCAAGAGAAAGGATAAGGAGGATTAGTTAGCTGTATTGAAAGTTAAACCTCGACATGTTGTTGAATTACCCGATGAGGAAGTGATAGCAATTTTAGATGCGAATCTCCCCGTCCAAGTTGAAGATCATGTGATAGATATGAACATTGTCGTTGATGAAAATATACTCTTACATTATCCAAATGGGGATTTAATTGAAATGGATGAGCACGTTGATGATGAATTATTGCTAGATCATCATGAAACCAAAGAAGAAGAAGAAGAGTATGAAACGGAAGATACAGAGGATGATGAGGAAGATTTCGTAGAAGAAATAGATAGTGACTAGTGTGTTAATTAAAAATATGTTGATGTATCTTACTGTATTTTATTTGTTGTAATCTAAGCTGAATGCTATGTGTTTTGTTTGTTGTAATCTAAGTTGAATGCTATCTGTAAGAATATATCTATATTTATTGCTTTTCTTTGATGTCTAACTTCTCACTCATTTCCCTAAATTTATCACTTACTATAAAATTGAAAAATCTAGCAGTAATTTTGGCCCAATTCTTGACTTATACCAATGTTTTCTGTTTGCAGGGACTTAATTCTTGACTTATACCAATTTATGACTCTAATTTTCTTAGATGTAATTTTTTTGTAGATATGACTCGAGGGAGAGACAGAGATAGCATAGCTCGTGGAGGCAAGTCCTCAGTTAGGGGTAGGGGTAATTCTGCTATTCGTGCAAATATGCCTTATGTTCCCATTCCCATAATTAGTCCTCAACAAGGTGGTACGAGTTCTTTAGTTGGATAGAATCACATAAATCAAGTACAAACTTTAGCTCCTAGCAGTACGACACCCGTTCAAACTTCAGGTCATGTTAGTACCCCAACTATCCATTTTGAATCATCTCCTAATACACCTGATCAGAGTAACCCAATAGGTGAGGGCATATCTACTCAAAGCAACACAATTGGCGAAGGTGAGTGCACCAGTAGTCGCGGGCAACAGACACTTGTTACTTGCTCCTACAGGATTAGTTCATGTTTTTACTATTATTTTTTATATAGAAATTTTGATTTATGATACCCCTTCAACTATTGTCTTCAAATTTTTTCAGGTTAGAACCTAGTGGATTATGCTCGACGAAAATATTTAAATCTTTCAAGCATGAACTTGATCTCAATGGAATCAATTAGAAAAGTGTCTCTGACGAGATAAAAAACTTTTATTGGGGAGAATTCAAGGTATAACTTCTCATTATATAATGAATTTAGGAAGTGTATTAACTCTTATAAATAAGATATTAATGTTATTACTTTATAAAATTATTTCAGAAGAAATTCTATTGGGACTCTTCCATTGATAGTGCAGTGAGGAGCCAATGGGAGAATAAGGCATCAATAAGGTACAAAGATTTCATTTCCAAAATGAAAACTAAAAAAATTAGGCCAAGAGGTGTTCCAGTAGAAGTGTGGGAAAGTTGGGATCAACTTTGGAAAGATCCCAAGTGTGTTGAAAAGTCAGAAATAAATGTAAATAATCGTCGTGGCGGTAGGGGTGGAGTCTCCACCGGGACTCACACAGGCGGCTCTATCTCCATTGGGGAGTATCGCAAGAGACTTGTAAGTATATCGCAACCTTAGCTTTATTGCAACTCTGAACTTAAAATTTCTTCTTGTTGGTGTTAAAAATTGCTTATAGTAACCTTAGCTTTCATATCGTCCAAAAGGAATCAAAATGTACCAAGGTTTTGCCAGTGAAAAATGTTCCCTTTGATAGTTGTTATAGTTGGCACTGTCAGACGAACAACAATAAAAGAAGAAAATGATTTTACATTGAAAATGATTCATCAGTTGTAGTTTTGCTCTTGCATTTCTGGGTTCTAGGTAAGGTTGTAGTTGAACTCCTACCTTGCTGTTTCCTCCTGCTTGTATTTAGCTGTTTTGGACTTGTGTCTCGCTGATCCAGGTACTGATTTCAGTATCAGATGATGTACTGTCATGTGATTGTTCTAGCATTAAAATCTGCCTCAATTTGTTCATCTATATGAAGTGAATTCATAAGTAATTGTCTGTATTGTTTGGACATTGTTCAAGTTCCCTGGATTTTGAATCTGACATGAGAAACAGGGAATTAAATCTGTTCAAAAGCCAGAAAAGATACTTAGTCTGTGCAAATTAAAAATGAAGTGAAGTTTGCTTCCTAAAACCTATGATCGAGTGACATTTAAACATGCTACAACTACACATGCTTCTTAATTTGTCTGGAATTTGGACTGTCCAATTTGTGTTGCGAAAAATAGTTACACTGCAAAACTATCTTGCTGAGAGAATCTAAGGCATACTTGGGCAGTAATTTGTCTGTAATTCGATCAATCAATCAGCTAGTCCTCAGTCCTCACCCACAAACTAGACTGTCGCTTTTATGAATCCTCTATGCGCACTCGCACATACACACACCACCACTAAAATAACAACTACAACAATAGCATGTGTGTATGTATATATACACATATGTTCCATCTGAAGAATTTTTTATTTTAGTTCAGGGTTCCTCGTCTCCCTTTTCTTTTAGAATTAAGAAAGGGGCAGGTTGTGGAGGTACAGATTTTTTTTATTAAATCAAAAGCAGAGGACTATTTTCCTTTAAGGCTTCAACATTGTGATTATTAAGACATGTTAATTATTAATCCTTAGGTGAAGTTGTGGCTATACTAACACATATGGTATTGCTTAAAGAGTTTAATCTAGTTTCATTTTGGAAATTTTAATGCTTTGATGAAGTCATCAATATATTGTTAAGAATGTTGTGTTTCTTTCAGCTGTTATTTTAGGCAGGAACAGATACTATGGCACTTTGAGCCAAGACCTAGAATTCTTTTGCATACAGTAATGTCTTAAAGGAGGTTAATACCAGAAGCCTTATAATACTTACTTTCTTGATAAGTGCCTTCCAATACTTATCTTTTTATGAGAAGATTGTTAGTTTAATGTAGCAGAGCAGTGTTAGTGACTTCTCTGCATTTTTCTAAAAAAAAACTGTATGTTCGTCATTATCCCTTTACTGTGCGGGTGAAATGACTCAAATGCTGTTCTAAAGCTTTTAATTTAGGTATTTATAGACTATTGCCTTTTTCTATATGCGGGAGACGGTGCTTACCTCGTCTCTCAATTGAAACCGCAGTACCTATCATCAGATGTTAATATCTAGGACCTTGGGTGTACAGACAGGTTTTTGCTTTCAACGTATGCAGAACAATGGTATTGTTGTTGTGCATTCTCTTTAATGATCTCAATCAGATATTCGTAGTACATATGGAGTCCGGACTAAGCAATAAAAATAGGTGTCTTATATTTTAAAGTCATAATCATCTCAATGTTTATCAATAGTAAACAAGAATTAGTCATTTGATTTTCCATTTGAAGCTCGTCTTAACTTTTCTAGTGCAGATTGGTGAGTTTGAAGCATGTGGATGAGGAAAGGTTGTTTCTTGTTAAATGGTTTAGACCAAAATGTTGGAAGTTTATCTATATACAAACTGCAAAGGCAATAATAAAACAAAGAGTAATATTCTTACCTGTTTAGCCAAGTTGTCATGTCTCTGATCCTCTGAATGCTCCTCCTATTCCGCTTTTGTCTGGAGTCCGGACTAAGCAATAAAAATAGGTGTCTTATATTTTAAAGTCATAATCATCTCAATGTTTATCAATAGTAAACAAGAATTAGTCATCACTGCGGAATGTGAGGCTATAGAGTAATTGTTCAGTTCAGTATCTGTTTCATGTTCCTTAAACACATGGCTGGGGTTAAGATATACATTAGTTGTACTCATGACGGATAAACAATATCTTAAACCCCATGACGGACAGCTTTATTGTTTCATGAAACAGTATCTGTTTCATGTTCCTTAAACACATGGCTGGGGTTTAAGATATGTTGGACTTTAAGCCATTGGGATTTAAAGTAGAAGAAGTGTGAATTGGAAATGGAGGGAAATGAAATGGAGGGAAAATGAAAAATTTGAATAAGTGAACTTTTGTCTTGCACTTTGTCCCTCATTTGTGAGGGACAACCACATTTGTGTGCTTATATATAGAATCACTTCTTAAAGCTTTTAAAAGGAGTTGAAGAGAATAAACCCTCGCGCCGCCGTCGTCGTCGCTCGCTCGGCTTTGGATTTGGATTTGTCAAATGATCGATAAGATTATTTTTTGGACAAAATTTATTTAATTATTTAATAATTAATTAAATGCCAAGTCACTACTGAAAATACGCCAGAATCTTGCTGAAGATTCAGAGAGCCTATTTGACCGCGGTTATGCTGCGGTCGCGGTAGAACCACGGCAGGCAGCGTATTCTTCTGAAAAGGCACTTTTTCCAGACACCTCTTCTGATAATTGCCTATAAATTCTGAGGCAAGGCTCCATTTTCTATACACGAAAAAACACTCCAGAACTTCTTTCTTTCTGAATACACTGCATCCTAATCGCAGTCTCTCTCTCTCAAATTCGTAAGTGTGATTTTGCTCCGTTCTTTGAGTTCGTTGGTATCCTGCAGTTTGTATTGCCACTGTTGCAGGAAGGTTTATTGCGTTTTATCCTGGGAGGATTTAATCCATTACCTTGGCAACTTGTGAGGGGGTTAAAATTCCTTAAGGACGCACAAGAAAATTGTGGACTCGGAATATTTCTGATTCTTTATTGTTTTCTATATTTCTTTATTCTTCTAACAGTTTTGTTTTCTGATTTTTGTTTTAACACAGTAACGCTCAGAAGCTTAAGGAATTTTTCAATTACTAACGTTTCTGTGTTGATTATTAAACTGTTTTTTATATACTCTGTTGGAGACTAAAGCCTTGTTGCTTTCTACTCCTATAATTGTTTCTGTCCGGTTTAAAGTACATAAAAAAACTTTGCCGGAATAATAAACGTACGAGTTTGAAGTATATAAAAACTTCACCATTGTTACGTGTTGTATGTTTGGTTTGGTATTCAGTTTGAAGATATCAAAACTTCACTGATTTAACAAGTTCTGTATTGTTTTCAACTTTACAGAAATATGAAGAATGAAAACCAAACTAATGGAAGTATTGCGGGAACGGGTGCTACTGTTATGAGTGTTGCTGCCTCGTCAAGCCATTCTACTCCTGCTCATGCTATGGCACCGGCAGAAAAACCCGGAAAGTTTTCCGATATTGACTTCAAACGCTGGCAAATGAAGATGCTCTTCTATCTTACTACGTTGAGTTTGCAACGTTTCATCAAGGAGGATCCTCCGGTCATGGCTGAAAATACTCCGGATGATGAACGACTTGTTGTAACTGAAGCATGGAAACATTCTGATTTCTTGTGCAAAAACTACATATTGAGTTGTTTGGAAGATGGCTTGTACAATGTCTATAGTGTCATGGAAACTTCAAAAGCGTTATGGAATGCACTTGAGAAGAAGTACAAGACTGAGGATGCCGGACTTAAGAAGTTCGTGGCTGCAAGGTTTTTGGATTTCAAGATGATTGACACTAGGTCAGTCATAACTCAAGTCCAAGAATTACAAGTCATTGTGCATGACCTCCTTGCTGAAGGTCTGACCCGAATCAATAATTTTATTAATAAGATTTATCTTATTATTAATTATGAATTTGTTATTGAAGGTATGGTCATAAATGAGGCCTTTCAAGTCGCTACTTTCATTGAAAAGTTACCTCCGTTGTGGAAGGATTTTAAGAACTATCTTAAACACAAGCGGAAGGAGATGACACTAGAAGACTTGATTGTTCGTCTGAGGATAGAAGAAGACAACAAAAATGCTGAAAAGAAGTCACGTGGAAACTCGACAATAATGGGGGCAAACGTTGTTGAGGAGGCGCCACAAAATAAGAAGAGGAAGAAGGCTTCCGGACCAAAGAATTACCCAAGCAGGAAAAAGTTCAAGGGTAATTGCCACAACTGTGGAAGATCTGGGCATAAGGCCGTGGATTGTCGTGCGCCCAAGAATGATAAGAAGAAAAAGAATCAAGCTAACATGGTTGAAGATGAAATGGAGGACTTATGTGCCATGTTGTCTGAATGCAATTTGGTAGGAAATCCAAAAGAATGGTGGATAGATTCTGGAGCCACCCGCCATGTTTGTGCTAACAAGGAGTTATTTTCTTCTTATGCCCCCGCAGGACCCGACGAGACAATCTTCATGGGAAATTCATCTACGGCCAAAATTGAAGGAGTTGGCAAGATTGCGTTGAAGATGACGTCGGGAAAAATAGTGACTCTAAACCAAGTCCTCCATGTTCCAGAAATTCGCAAGAATCTTGTGTCTACCTCACTTCTTGTCAAGAATGGATTCAAATGTATTTTTGTTTCTAATAGTGTTGTACTTAGTAAGAACGATGTATATGTAGGAAAAGGTTACCTAAATGAGGGCCTTTTTAAGCTAAATGTAATAGCAGTTCCTATCAATAAAGTGAATGTTTTTTCTTATTTACTTGAGTCAAACACTTTACGGCATTCGCGTTTAGGTCACGTAAACTTCAAAACATTGCGGAAGATGATAAATCTAGAAGTAT